AATACAGAAGAATATTACAATTGAAGGAAATTTTAAGACTAAAATTTGAGTTCTACATACAGTGACAATATGTTATAAACCAGGAATGCAAAATAAATAATAGCAGGGAGACTTGAACACTTTACAGAAAGATCCTGTAGTGCAAGGAATCACATGCACAATATTAAGCCTCAGACATGACTACAGCTTATCCTGTAAACTGCCTTATGTGACAGTGCATTTAAGATGACATTTTACTTCATTTTAATTTACTACATGTATTCTGTCCTTGCTAATGTTAATACGCAGTTTTTTAGCTTGAGATAGCTTAACAAGCTCCTCCAATAAACATCCAGGAAGCATCTTGCCGTTTGAGATATTTACTAAAAGATACACTGTGAAACTGAACAAATAATACATACATTACAAATTAAACCATACACAATAAATACGTTAAACTTATAAACGGCCAAATTACCTACTAGCGGGACGCTAGTACATTGAAAATCCCATTACACTCTAGCGCGATTAACACATCATTGTGTACATTACCTTTTCCTTAGGTCACAAGTAACTTAACTTATCAGGTAAGTATTTAAGGTAAGCAATACAATTAATGTCTTTTCGTACTTACAGACATATGTTCTTTATGGCCTGAAGAAGGTTAACGGAGAGGAAGAAAACGACAGCTTGTCTCTGAATACGTCTAGAACTGATGTAACCTAGGGAAAATACAGTATGCGAAGAGGAACAAACTAACAAAACATCTTTTGCTATTTCGGACGGCACAACATGCATCCCAATATTTTCCTGGAATAGGAAAGAAGTGATAAGTGCTGACCGAATTAGTTTATGATTTCCATATACACTCGCCTAAAGGATTATTAGGAACACCTGTTCAACTTCTCATTAATGCAATTATCTAATCAACCAATCACATGGCAGTTGCTTCAATGCATTTAGGGGAGTGGTCCTGGTCAAGACAATCTCCTGAACTCCAAACTGAATGTCAGAATGGGAAAGAAAGGTGATTTAAGCAATTTTGAGCGTGGCATGGTTGTTGGTGCCAGACGGGCCGGTCTGAGTATTTCACAATCTGCTCAGTTACTGGGATTTTCACGCACAACCATTTCTAGGGTT